CTTTTTCTTGTATTTTGTTCTTTCATATCTACCCTTGTCTCTTTCTTTAGATCTTTCTCAATTTTTTTTTTTTGGTTTTTGACTCAGCTGCATACCATGTTGCTTTGATTGCTTAGATATAGAATTTTAGAATCTATCGGTGTACACAATATAAAAAAGTATCTATCAGTTAATCTTCTTAGTAATATTGGAAGTTACGTTCTATCAAGTATAGTTTGGTATGGTTGAATTTTTGTCTCCTTGGAATTAAATTACTTTAAATATATTTCTTCTAGAACTTTTATTTTTTTGTTGCAAATTTTCTAATTCATCTTCACCATATTTACGTGATAACCACTACTATTTTCCTTTCATACTCAACAGCTACTCTGGAAACATTAATCTTCACAAAGAAAGCAGAATAAAGGGCCACATGTATGTTATTATTGGTTCATCAGTTGGGGCTTCTGTTCTACTCTTGGCTACTGTCATATCTTGCTTTTTTATGCGTAAAGGCAAGAGGAGATATCATGAACAAGGTGGAATTCTAAACACTGCTATTTATTGTGTCTGTCTGATATTTGAGATGATAGAACATGGTTTATATGTTTACACTCTTCGTAGACCACATTGATTCTCTCCCTACTCAAAGGCTGGCTTCTTGGAAGAGTGACGATCCTGCAGAAGCTGCTCATTGCTTCAGTTTTTCTGAAATTGAAAATGCTACAAATAAATTTGAGAAAAAAATTGGTTCTGGTGGTTTTGGAGTTGTATACTATGGAAAACTCAAAGATGGAAAAGAGATAGCAGTTAAAGTTTTAACCAGTAATTCCTATCAAGGAAAGCGAGAGTTCTCCAATGAGGTAACCTGCATTTTGTAAACCTCTCTTTAAGCATTCCACTATTCCGGCATTGAACTGTCTCTTGTTATTTTGTTTGTGTCCTTTTCATTTTTTGATATCTGGGATTTTGTTTTGTTTCGTGGATGTAAAACAGATTTATCAATAATTGAACTAATGCATGGACCAACAGAAAGTTGTTGCAGGGAACCCTGGCCTTGAGAAATAAAAGTTGGTTGCGGTCTAATTTACAGAAATGTTTTTAATTTAATTTAAAAGAAACAATGAGTGGAAATACTGACTGTTAGTCTGCTACGTATAAACTAATCACCTTAAAACAGCTTATTTAAAATAAAAATAAACCATTTGTTAAACCATGTTGTTAAACAGGAAAGAAGGTTGCCCATGCAGAAACCTGCAGCATCTTTTCTGATAGTTATCATCCGAGGCCAACTGTTGTCATGAAGTGGCAGCATGGTTTCACCAAGTGCCTGAGTAAATTTAGATGTCGTGAAATTGTAGAGAACTTTACAATATCGCACTTGTCTTCCAGAAGCATACCCGTATGTTGTAGGCCAATTATTAAACACAACCTGGTGAATAGGAATCCATTACCAAACATTTGTAGTATACTATTGTAAACTAGATCTGCATTACAGAGCTTTGGCTTACGGACTGGAACCAAGTGGTACCATGAAGTTATTTGGTACCAACAATAATCTTAAAGTTTTCTGTCTATATCAATCTATGAAATTAGAATGGTCTCTCCGAACTTGTTTGGGATGATGGAAAGAAAGGAATTGACAAAGGAGGAATAAATTTAAGGTTGAAAGTCAATTACATAGGTTGAGAAGCCAAGAAAATGAGATCAAACCAAATGGGGAGAGCATTTTACAATTTTACAATAATTCCATAAAGTCTAGCCCTCCAAAAAAAGATAGTTAAGAGAAAATAAAAAATGAGCTTGCAATATTTTTTGTAGGATTTCTGCTTTCTCATCATTTTCTTTTCATTTTTTGACATCTGAATAAAAGTAGGGAAGTTAGTCCTTGTTTGTTTAATGATTTCAGTAACAGATTTTTTGTTTTTTAAAATTTCTGTCTCTTCAGTACATTTGAAGGTATTTTTGTTCCCTGAACACAGTTTTGCTTTCTAAAAGTTTATCTCTGAGCAATTGAACATAGCACTTGAAGAAAATAGAAGAGTGACAAAACATCTCCTAGATATTTTTATGTCTTTTGGTTTCTAACAAACTTATTTGGAAACAATTTTCAAAACTTAAAATAAGTTTTGGATGAAAAATTGATTGCTGAGTAGCATGGAATTGTTTTACCCAACAGTTTTTAAAATAAAAAAAGTGAGAAGGAAATCAAACAAACTCTTGTATCCCATTTTTTTAATTTTCTTGCTTCTCTTATTGTTTCTAAATAAAGCATAAAGTAGATAAAATAGTTGCAATTTTACTGAACTCTATTATAATTGAATTGATGTTTTTCTTTGATGTAGGTGACTCTTCTTTCAAGAATACATCACAGAAATTTGGTACAGCTTCTTGGGTATTGCCGAGATGAAGAGAATAGTATGCTTGTTTATGAGTTCATGCATAATGGCACTCTCAAGGAACATCTTTATGGTAAGCTTGCATGATTTAAATCAAGGAGAAGAAATCCATATGTTCAATGATGTCTAACTTCTTGCAGGCCCGTTAGCGCATGGACGGAGTATCAATTGGATTAAGCGCCTAGAGATTGCAGAAGATGCTGCCAAAGGTTTACGCTTTATGAATTACTAGTATTAAGCTAATGCATATAAGAATATATAATTAGTTATATTTCATCTACTTTTCTGATTGAATGGCCATTCTGTTATGATTAGTCACACGATATTAACTGTATTATTCTCATGCTTGTTCAGGGATTGAATATCTTCATACGGGTTGTGTTCCTGTCGTTATCCATAGAGACTTAAAAAGCAGCAATATTCTTCTCGACAAGCACATGAGAGCCAAGGTTTCAGATTTCGGTCTTTCAAAACTGGCAGTTGATGGGGTTTCCCATGTTTCAAGCATAGTTCGGGGGACAGTAGGATATCTGGATCCTGAGTAAGGCCTTTATCTATTTTCAGTGAATTTGTGTGTGTTTAAACAAAGTTTATTGTGTCTTGATCTTGGTTGGATGACAAAACTCAAATTCCCTTTTGTCTCCGTAACATCAAACTTTCCTTGAAACCTTTTTCTGGACAGGTACTATATTTCTCAGCAGCTGACTGACAAGAGTGATGTTTATAGTTTTGGTGTAATTCTTCTTGAACTCATATCTGGTCAAGAAGCAATATCGAATGAAAGCTTTGGGTTAAATTGCCGAAACATAGTCCAATGGGTAAGTTTTGATTTGTCTGCTTACTGCAAACACAGAATTTTGGATGGTGTATAAAGAAAGTCTTAGTGGTTTTTTTCCCCTCGCATGATTTGTATAGTATTTAATTCTCAACGTTAATAGAGATTCTACCTCGACTAAAATTAAGACCAAAATAAAAATATATGTGGGGGAATTTTCACTTTATAAGTGAGAGACAACCCTTATTTTTCAAGTTACTTTGTAGAGTTAAATTGGATCCAAAGTCATATTTCTGAAATAAAAACATTAAAAACAGTAAGCCATGTTAACATGCACAATAATGCATGATAAATTTATGAAGTTGACGAGCTATATGATTCTTTTGGATCTTTATATTCTGTTCCATGTATGCTTGTTATTAAAACAAAATTAACTTCTTCCCTATAATTAAGCTTGCAATATTTTCAGACTATAGACCACTGAATGAACAATATAGACATAAAGACCAGCCACATTCTGGTCCAAACCTACGTTTCTGAAAAACACTGCAAAAAGTAAGTCATACTAACATGCACAAGAATGCATGTTAAATTTATGAAGTTGACGAGCTATATATGATTCTTTTGAATCTATATTCTGTTCCATGTATGCTTGTTAGTTGTTATTAAACAAAATTAAATTCTTCCCTATAATTAACCTAGTAATATTTTCAGACTATAGACCACTGAATGAACTGTAGGCATGAAGACCAGCCTCATTATGTTAAATTACATTTAGATCAACTAAATTTTGGTTGCCTACATCAATGTTTTGACAGGCAAAATTACACATTGAGAGTGGAGATATACAAGGAATTATCGATCCCTTGCTGCGGAATGACTATGACCTACAATCAATGTGGAAAATAGCAGAGAAAGCATTGATGTGTGTTCAGCCCCATGGGCATATGCGGCCATCAATTTCAGAAGTTCTAAAGGAGATCCAAGATGCAATATCTATAGAGAGACAGGCAGAATCATTAAGAGAAGGCAATTCAGATGATATGTCAAAAAATTCTTTTCATTCTTCCGCGAACTTGGGTTCAATGGATCTAGGTGGAGCTGAGAGTTACCTGTCTATTGATGAATCAATTACGCAGCCAACAGCAAGATAGATCTCTCTTGTAAACAAAAGCAAGTTTTCCTTTTCCCTTTTCCTCTCATTACTTCTTTCTGTGTGGAGGCCTTGTTCATATGTGGTTTAGTGATTGGTGCCCCCTCCCAACCAAATGCATGTGAACTGGAGTTAATGCGTTCTGCCTTTGCAATCACCGATGGCATTGTATACATTGAATTGCCACTCGACTTGTTTGTTTGCAAAGCACCAGGGAAAAAAGCGTGCTGCTTTAGGGATGTAGGATTTCAATTTTGAAGGGAAAAAAATATTGAAAATTTGCTGTTTGGCAGGATGATAACTTAAGACAGTGAAGGGCTTCCTAAAAGTACAGCTGAAGGATCAGGAGAGCGTAGGTAGTAGTGATTGAATCATGCTTGATGTAGAAAGTGCAGAACATTACTATTTGTTATGAAAATTTAGTAAAACTTGCACGAATTTTATGTTTACTTTTTATTGGATAATTATATTAAGTTCATACGTGGGATAAATAAATTACAGAAGTTATTCGTCCCATGTCATTGGCATATTAGTTTTGTTGACAAAAATCGTAACAATAGTTATTTCCTTCAGAAAGAAGTCATGGTAAACCAATGATCTCAACCAAAAGTTGATTTAGCAGGTTGTAATTGTTTTTAGAAACAAGTTCAATCGCTTTAGATGAAAAAAGATAAATAAATAAACAATGATCCTGATGTTGTAGAATTGGAGCGAGATGATTTTAACATTGGGCCAAATCTCATTGTCGGCCCAGAACAATCTAAAGAGTTGGAAATTATTTTTTGCACACCTTTCTTTTTTCCCTTCTATTTGTACAGCTCAACACTTATTTTATTTTTAATTATTAATTTACCCTATGATGTCTTTGATTGTTTTTGCTTTGACTTCTTAAAAAATAATTGTTGCAGAAGTTCAAGCCTAGAAATTGAAAACTTATATGAAAGGATGTGGCTATTCTAAAATAAAAGTAACGTAATTTCATGATGATAAAACCAATAGTTGGTAATCAACTGTCTAACATATACACAATTCATTATGAATCCAGGTGTGATGTAAATAGTTTTTTTTATTATTAACAATTGAAATTGTTTAATTTATTCTAATCAGTAATCCGGACTAATATGTTTTTTTTTTATATTTATCATAAAAATATTTTAAAAATTAAAATCTGTTTTGAAAAATACTTATTCAAACCAATCTTTAACTTATTCATACCGATTCTAAAATGGTTAATGTATTTATTTAATTAATATTTATAAAATAATTTTAAATTGATTTAATTTTTTACTTATATATAATCTTGACTTGTTTTTTTTTTTTTTTTTTATGTATTAAAAGAAGGTGCGGTTATTTACTTATTTCATATATGTATAGTGCGTAATGTTTTGATATTTGGAGAATATTTTTAAATATATTTTTTATTTTTAATATAATATTAATTATCTTTTTCTTATCCAGTATTTTAATGCATGTTTATTTTATATAACTAAATTTTATAATAAATAGATAGATAAATAAATATTATATTGAATATATAAATTATATTTAAAACTTATATATATATATATAGGTATTTTTAAACTCAAATTTTAGACAAATAATTTATATTTTGATCCAAGACCCTTTTAAGTTTTAACTAATACTATTATAAGAAAGGATTTTTGGAAACAACATTCAAGTAAAAATAGCAAAAATATATTTGGATAAAACGTTTCATAAAGAATATTTACATTCAAAAACATGTCATTGTATAGATCGTTCATAAATCTTTTCAAGACAAGGCAACAAAGGTAACAAGGAATACCAACATAGTTACAATGCTCAAGATTGACACATATGCAATAAACATAGACTTCACTAAATTATATGCATGTGGCACCAATAAAACACTTTATCCTTGTCCAAAAGCATGCATAGAGTAACATACGAGAACATGTTAAGTCAAGTCATCATAACACTATCGCTTCAAGATAATCACGCCCAAACTTATCCCTATTGAGCATCGGCTTAAATTTCACATCACATGCCTACCACATGGTCCACACATAAGCACAACACGTTTTATCCCATAAGAGTTGCATGTTTGCAGTTCAAACACAACAATGACAACAGCATCATCTAGTAAAACCTCAAATAGATTCATTATAAGATCATTTGTTGCCACTATCAATCATTAACCTAAACACTCTTGTACCGTTATTAATGACACAAGAGACACATTGATACATGCAACCCAAAGGAACAAGGTCCAGATGAGGAGTTCAATACATCTAGGCCCAAACGTGAAAGGAAACGACCCAATTGGCATAAAAATTATATTTAAAAAATATATATATATATAGTTGTTGGAAGCCCATTTGTTAGCTTGGTTCCTAATATAGTCGTTTGAAATCCTTGTTTTGTTGCTTCGTATGTTTAAGTTTTCTTCTTTTAACCGTTAGAATAATTTAGTCTATTTTATCCTTTTGCTTTTAATATCATATTTGTATTTAAGGGACCTTTGGTCTTTTATGAAAGGAAGAAGAAATTATTCAGTAGCTTATAGTTTTCCTTAGTTATATCAACTAGCATTTCTATTGAATCGTATTGGATAAGAGAAATCTTATCATTGATGCTTTCAATTTTTCTCATACCTCCTAAATCCACTAAGGACATGGAAGAAGCTCTCCATGCCTTAAATGAAAAGCTCTCAGCTTTTCAACTTCAGCAAGATTCACAACATGAACAACTCCAAATGTCCCTGGAGAATTGTTATGAGGCGCTTACAGGAGCTATTCATGGTTTATTAGAAAAAGTTCATATTATTCCATCTCCAGCTCCTCGTTTTCCGGACACACCCCCAAATACAAACCTTTCCTTTAACCATACTCCACTGCCTACCTCCTGTCCTTTTCCTCCTCCACCACTCACATACAACGTTGCACCTAATGGCTCTATTCATTATCAAACTCCTCCTCCACATTCAAATGTTCAATTCTATTCACCTTCCTTACCTCATGAGCAATGTATCCATATGGTGTATTTCTATATGAAAGGTGAAGCCTTATCATGGTTCAAATGGATGCATCAAAATCAACAACTTCACGATTGGGAATCTTTTATCCAAGAAATAGAGGCTCGCTTTGGACCATTTGCTTATCAAAATCATGAAGCAGAACTTCTCAAACTCAAACAAACTTCTACTGTTGCAGAATTTCAACAACGTTTTGAGAAATTATCCAACCGCGTTTTTGGTCTATCGCCAGTTACATTGTGTAATTGTTTTATTTCTGGTCTTACCCCAGCTATCTAACGTGAATTAGCGATCTTACGACCCGTTATAGTTCACCAAACAATGGGTCTTGCTCATCTTGTGGAAGACAAGTTACGAGATTCTAAACCCAAATTTTCTTCTCGATTTTCCCCTCCGCCAAACACCGATATCCCTTCTTCCGTGCCGCATCCTTCTTCATCATCTCACACAACACCCACACCCTCTTTCCCCATAAAAAAATTGTCCAATGCCCAAATGCAAGATCGTCGTAGTAAGGGTCTTTGTTTCAACTGTGACAAAAAATTTTACCCAGGTCATAAATGCACCCAAACACAATTTCTCTTACTTCTCGCAGAGGAGGAATCCCATATTGTCGACCAACCATCAACTCCTTGTGAGGATATCAACACTATGCTTATTGAAAATCAACCACTTCCAATACATTTACAACTTTCACCACAAGCACTAACTGGTCAACCTTTCCCTCAGACATTGCGATTTAAAGGCTCTATTGATGGGCTTGGTGTCACTATTCTCATCGACACTGGTAGTTCCCATAACATCATGCAACCCAGGATTGCCCATCAACGCCAACTCTCAATTACTCCTACCCCAACTTTCCCAGTTATGGTGGGTAATGGTGCTCATATTTTCTACTCCGGTTTACGTGATTATTTTTATGTCAAACTTAACTATGACATAATTTTATATCCTAACCTTATCTTGATGTTATTTTGTTATATATTATAAATACAAATATTATTCTATGGCCATAAGAAATAAAGTTTAAATTAATTTGTAATTGGAGGTTTAACCTTAGAGATTTAAATGGGCAAGGACTTAAGGTAAAATATCCTTTTGTGGTTGATATTATTATGCTCATTTATCCTGACTAGTCACTACTAAAATAATTCAAATTTTATTATAACAATGAAAATTTAATATATATATATATATATATATATATATAATTATGTATTTATCGTTGATTATAGGTAATTATGTACTTTTATTTAATTATTTGTATTTATTTGATAATTGTTCTCACTCCTTAATTTTTCTCTGTAAAATTAAATATATCACAAAATAGATGGATCTACCGGCCATTCCAGGTCCTTTTACAGTAGTTATCACTGCAGTTTTTCCTGGGAGTAATTGGAGTATAGACGTTGTCTCCAACTCAGTCACGTTCCAATGCATAGGACTGGCTTTGTTCGTTTTTTTTTTCCAATCAAAAAAATTCCACTATTATAGATGAACCCATTATAGTGACTTTCTTTTTACCACTAGCTATCCATGCCAATCCTATTGTAAATTTATTTCTACCACCAATGTAAATACTATCATAGTAGTAGAAAAAAATGGTATGTAAGGCATGTATTGTAAATATTATTAGAATAATATGTAATGTAAATATCGAAATAATAATGTAAGATATAAGAAGTTTATAGATATGTATGTCATTGCAAATATTTTAATGTGACTATAAGTTAATTAGATGTAAACAAATTAAAATTAGTTTCTTTGTTATCAAGCATAATATTGTTAATAATATACTTGTGTTCTTAATCTATAAATATAATATGTATTTATTTATACACAAAGGTATAATAGTGGAGTTAATACTTATACAATTAGACATTACATACAACAATAGACATCTTAACAACTTTACAACAATAAACATCTTAATATCAACTTAACAATGTTAATAACACAACATTAAATAATCAACAATAAGCAACTTAAATAAACAACTTTGATACACAACACTCTTAACATAACACCTTTTAAACATCCTTATACACATCATATATCAACTTAAATCATCAACTACTCAACTATTATTCAACATACCACATGCGCCTGGCATGGCCAAGCACGCGCCCAACACCATGGAAATAGGGCATTCCTTGGTTCCTACGTGCCTGGCACAACTACACGTGCGCCTGACGCGATCCAAGTCAGGGACTCCCCTAGGAGTCTCGTGCTCAATGCCTTACACTACACGCCCAACGAGGGTAAGTTAGAGACTTATCCTTTAAATCACACTCGACGAAATTAGCCTTCCACCCGACATGAATAAACCATAGGCTCCCTGCCTCGCCTGCGCTCAACACAGGTTTTTCGCGCCCGACATGACCTCAGCTGAGACCAAATTTCCAATTCACACCCGACACGATCAACTTCGCGCCTGGCGCGAACGAGCAAATTAACCCTCTACTAAAGACCCGCCCGGCGTGTACTCAAACTTGAACAAACCCCAACTTTGATTTTTCATCGAAACCTGCACCCAAAAGAATCCCAAAGCATGCAACTAGTTTCCAAACACAATTAATATCATAATGTAGTTAAAACAACTCACAAATTCAACATGCACCATCATTTCCCACCAATCCACACAATTCCCAACATAATATAAAAAACCCATATTTTCTCATTCAACAACAAACATTCAATCAATCCATTCAACTGAATCCATCAACACCAACATAATTAAGATACCACAAGCTAAATGCAAGCTCCCCTAACCTCGAATTCAGAGTGAGACAACTCCAAGCTACACTGGAATGAGAAGGAAGAAGAAGAAACTTTGAAGGTTCCAAAAGAATGGAGAAACTTGCGGAGAAGAAGAAAACCTAACTTGTGCTATCTCCACCTCTTCGCAGCAATACTACGGGTATTACAAAAACGGTTACATACATATCCTCTTTATAATAGGTATATATATATATATATGTGTGTATATATATATATATATACATTAAT